GACCCTTCGAACGCGCTTTCATTCCGTTTGCGACCCAAACGTCCTCCATAATCCCCTCTTCCAGATTATCGAAAAAAAAAAATCCGGTAATTGGCAATGTGGCAAGTCGCTCCGGAATCCAAAATCCACTGTTTTTCCGCTTCACTGTTACAACCCGTGAGGAACACATAGTTGTCATCATCTTCGTCACTCTGTTTTACGTGGTTCGCTTTGTGTTGCTTGGCTACCGCTTTGTTTCCTACCTCCGCTTTTCATGCTTTGATTTTTTCGCAGGTCGCTTGCAGAAAAAACACTTGCCTTCTCCGGCTTTGGAATCCACATAGTGAGCACCTTCAAAATCACCATCGCTTTCGTTCCCCTGCTTCTTCTTCTGCCACTCATCGATGAGCCCTTTTACCATATTCAGCGTCAAATCCTCCTCCGGTCTAGCTTCGAGAGCAGTTACCAGCGTCTCATACTCTTCGGGTAGGCTACTGAACAAAATGGCTACCAGCCACTGATCGTCGAGAATCTTCTCCGGCTGCAAAGTGTTCAGCTTATCAAATAATTCAGCCATTTTCGATACGAGCGCTTCCATGTCCCCGTGCTTCTCCAGACGTAAACTGCAAATTTTCCGCATCACCGATACCTTCGTCGTCAACGTCTTCTTCACGTGGAAGTTGTCAAGAACCTTCCACGCAGCAGATGCCGATTCGGCCTTCCTTATGTGGATTAACTGATTATCATCCACTGCCAATCCGATCGATGCCAGCCCTTGCTCGTCCTTGGTCTTCCAGGCATCCGTCACTGGTTCCGGTTTCACTCCTACAACAGCCGTCCAGTTGCCTTCCTTCGTCAGGGGTAGCTTCATCCTGCAACTCCAATTGTCGTAGTTGGAGCTATTAAGCTTTGGAAACGACACCAGCCTATCCGTCATCTCGATGTTTTTTTTTTACGATGCTATCGTTTCTTCACCAGTTCCGATTCGATTGTCTGGGCCCATAACCTATCGGAGGTACGGGAAGGAAATCGGACTGGACTTTAATGAATTGACTACGATTACAAGAATAACGTCTTTATTACCAGGTAGTTGAATATAAACTGAAAAACTGAAATATTTCTTCTCTTCGCATGGTTGCTTTGATCGATAGTAGAGTTGGATTTGCTCTACAGAGGACTCCTTTTGTCTCCTTCCTTGTCGTTCACGCCGAATGCCCCGATTGCGCCGTTCGCTTCGATTACGCGGATCTGTCTTCTCTGAATCTGGTGGGATGGTTCGCGCCAATCGTGCCGATTGCGCCGTGTACGTCGAACACGCTTATTGTGCAGCTTGCACTCGTCTGGTTCCACACCGACACGTATTACGACGAAACTACCATCGGTGGAGCCTTGATTCGCAGACTTATTGTGTGGCTTCGTCCACTTGATGACGGTGTCGCTTACCGTTTTATTTCAAGTATGGAAGTCGATCGTGGTTTACAGAACTTTTCCACCACTTCACTAAAGTTTTCTTCAAGCTGCACCGGTCTCGTTAACCGCGGGGGTACCCCACCCTTCATCACATTCGAGTAGTCAAACGTATGCGGCGTACGTAGGCTGGATCCCGCAGCTCTCCCCCCCCCCCCCCCTCTTTACACTCTGGGCCTTTACGTCATTGCGTATGGCCTTTCAAGTGTTGAAGCTAGTCAACTGGAACGCTTGCTCGCTCAAGAGCAAGAAAATCGAGTTTGTTGAGTTTCTTAATGAACGAAACATCGACATTGCCGTAATAACTGAAACCCACCTGAAACCCGAAATTAACGTCTACCTTCCCAATTTACGGCTCCTGAGCCTTGATCGAACCAACTCTGGAGGAGGAGTGGCTATTGCGCTAAGCCGAAACATCTGCTGTCGGCTGTTGCCGAGCTTTCAGTTGAAGATCATCGAAGCCGTAGAGGTGTAAGTTTCTAGTCTTGTCGACCCCATCACCATCGTTGCGGCTTACTGCCTCAAACAAATCAACATAATAAGGGACGGGTCGCGCAGCAGAGCTGCGACAAAACATTGTCAAGCTAACACATCATCGCTGGTGACCTGAACGCCAAACATCAAACTTGGAGCAACAGTCGGCGCAATCAAAACGGAAGCATCCTGAACAACGACCTGCAGGAAGCGCAGCACAACATCTTGAGTCCGGACGGTTGAGTCGGTCCGGTGCTCACGCTACCATCAACATTTTCATCAACTCAGCTCGGACCACTATCCGGTGGGGGCCGAAGTTGGTTCCTCGGTGAACCGATTCGAAGCTTCCCGGCGCAACTACCATCGTTTCAACTGGGCTCAATATCAACACTGCATCGACACAACCATCGACAGTGTTCACTCGGCTGTCGACAAAAGCAGGCCACTCTCGATGTGTGCTACGCGATCGTCTGTTTTCTCGGCAGCAACCATTGTGTGGTCCTCCTCATTGTTCTTCATCAGCAGTTCTTTCGGTCGATGCGTCGTCGACTTTGGAAAGCAACCGTTTCGTGATGTGTGTGTGAGTGCTGACCACGTTTTGCGTCCATTGCTGCAATGGAAGCGCTCTGCCCCTCGATGGCGTAACTGCCGTACAATGAAACCACTGGAAGCGACTCCAGTTCTGATTGACGAGGCTTTTTGGATAGCGGAAGATAAAGTGTTTATTGTGTTGTACCTTTTGACTATAGTTTTAAGATGTATTGTAAAGTGACCAAGAATCCTCGGCTCTGTAAAGTTAATTCGGTTGAGCCTTATCAAATAAATTAATAAACAAAAAAACAACCATCGACTGCGATGTCCAACCGGAGACGTCCGAAGACGTTGACCGGTGTCTACATACCATCGAAGAGACGATTTCCCGGGCCAGGGAACAACAGGTGCCAGTATCCAGACAGGTGAGTAACACTCTGAGCCTTGACAGCGCTACTAAAGAGCTCCTTAGACTTCGTAACACCATTCGTAGGCAGAACCAGCGTACTGGTCTGCCAGCCTTGAAGACCAATTGAAATCGATTAACAAAGATCATTCAGGCCAGGATGGTGAATCTCGGAAATAACGAGTAGGGGAAATGTATGTAATGTCGGCCTTAGTGTCCCTAATTTGGGCCCATACATAAATTCAGCAATCGACTAAATTTTCAATAGCAACCAAAAATATCCATTAGTACCGTCCCAATGACGCCTTCATCTATTGATTATGAATTGATAAATTGCAGATTTTTAGCGATGGGTCCAATCTTAGATCCATAGGCCAACATTAGAGCCATTTCCCCTATGTTAATCAAATCCGTTCTCTCCCAGATTGCGCAAAGCCTCTCTGGAAGCTAACCTTAAAAAATAAGTCCAGACCCATTCCACCACTGATTCCACTGAATCGACCCGATGATTCAGTGGTTCATCTGAAGGCTGCTGTGATTGGCTAACACTTCGTCAGCTCCCACTGCCGTTGCCGAAGGGGCAGTCAACCTTCATTTGATTCCCAACAACTTCCCCGATCAAATCTTCCAAAACTATGAAGGCCCCAGGTTTCGATAACATCTTGAATCTAGAGCTAAGACATATGAGCTCTCGATTCTATGATTATCTGGCACTGATGTTCGATCAGTGCCTTAGGCTTGGCTACTTCCCCTCGTGTTGGAAGTTAGCTACTTATCCGTAAACTTGGGAAGGATCCTTCCTCTCCCTGCAGCTACAGACCTATCAACCTTCTCTCAGGGTTATCAAACGACGAAAATAACATCTTACTCGAGGAGCAGTTTGGTTTTCGACAAGATCGGTCAACTACTCACCAACTGACTCGAGTAAGCAATATTCTCAGGCGGAACAAGTCTGTATCTAAAACATCTGCCATGACATTGTTAGACGTTGAAAAAGAAACCAGTCCAGGCAATCCATTTTTTTAAAGAAGTCCTCCGCATAACTACCTTTGAATACTCCTAAGAATTCATTTAGATTTATCCCTAGCAATCTGTAGGAATTATCATCGACATTAATTTCATAAAGCCGATGCAAGCTACTTTCTCCAATTCTAAATCTGGTGCAACTACAAAGCAAGACCATGCTGGGGGTGGCTGGGTTTGATTCCCGGTCCGGTCTAGGAATTGTTCGGGTTGGAAAATTTCTCGACTTCCCTGGGCATAGAGTGATTGAACTTGCCACACAATTATACTGATGCAAAAATGATACAGACTTGAAAGCTCTCAATTAATAACTGTGGAAGTGCATCTAGAACACTGTGTTGAGAGCACGCAATAAGCTTGAAGAACGAAGAAGAAGAAGAAGATAATCAAAACTGAAAACTTACGTTAATCCAAAAAGGATTTCGTAAAAAATCGAAACATAAAATTTTAAGAAATTTCAAGAATCAAGTGGACATTAATTTCAGTGTAAACCTTACCCAACACTAGTTACGTCACTGGCAAAGAGTTTGATCCAAGGTTAGGAAATTGTCTGTCTCATGATTATTATTTCATAAGGAGAAGCCTTTCTATATGAATCACATTTCAACTTATCTAATTTCTTAGTGAATAATAGTTACCGAGTAGAAATTTAATTGGCTTGTTTGCTGCGTTCAAACAAGCCATGTCTGCCATTTACAGATATTTCTACCCCATGAATGTGGAGATCTGAGCTCGCTATGTAAGGGAACGAAAAACCAATAATTTTATGATTTCACAAGCAATGTATTTCATAATGTTGAACAAGCTTAATTACCTATATACCCTTTGGAAAGAGACTACCGGGACGTAATTGAAAGATAAAAATTGCTATTACATTATTTCAGCATATTGCACGAAATTTGATTCCACTTCAAAATTGGAGCTCTCTTGCATGCACCAGTACCATTCATTGGCCTGGCACAGTGAAAGCCAACAATTGAATTGAAAGCGAAGCGAAGGTGAACGAGTCCACCTTTTTCCCCCCAGCTGATCCCGCATGCTTGATCAATATACCGAAGTGGAATCCACGTTGTCAAACCGGGGGCTCGTCACCAATCAAGAACTTCCCCCAGATACTAACCTTAGATTTCGGCTCCTTGGCTGCCTTTAGCTTGCGAACCAAGTCTCCCTGGGCGGTGATCTCGGCCTGCACAGTTTCCCGACCGGTCATCACTGGTTGCACACGTACTCCGTTCTTACGATTCGATCCGAATAAAATGCAATGATTTACAAATCAAAACCGATTCAGAAAGGCAGTAAAATTCAACATGCGCTAGCGACAATCCTCCTAACGTAAACAGCGAACGTCGACTCGATACTGTTAGATCGAGATTGTACAGACTCAATGACTTTATATAAGGTCTAGGCCAACAGGCAGCTTGCTGGTGTTAGAAGCAAAAATGTTGTAAACATTGCTGAACATCTGCGAACAGATAGAAATACGTCACTGCCATCATACTGAGAACAGATAGAAATACGTCACTGCCAACAGCTGTTTCGTGTAAAAAGATAAACATTGCAATAAAATACAAACACCACTAAACATTTGCACATTTCACTAACACCAATAAGCCCTTTGGCCCAGACCTTATATAAACGCCATTGGTACAGACTGACACTATTGGCCTTTGACAGCAATTGGCGTTGACGGCGACTCTGTATATAGCTCTTTACTTCTATGAGAAAATCCATAAGCAAACGTCAGACTGTGCGTGAAACATGGCGGACTTTGTACTATCCTTTCACTCAACCGAAAATTCACATAAGAAACTGTCTATATTTGCTGGAAGAACAAATTTTTCGACGGTGCCGTCAACGCCATGAGCTGGATTACCGAATCGGTTATGTTGTGTGAGTGAAACCCTGAAGATACAAGCAATTAGTGACGTCACTAATTGCGTTTACGTTGATTTTTTGGTTTACTAATCCAACTATATTTCACAATCTGGTGAACCTCTCTCTGTGCTCCTTGGGCAGGGAGGGCTGTTCATTTGGTTTACGTTCACGCACGCACACAGTTTTCCGATGTTTTGTATTGGTTCGAGCTGCACATGACTTGTTCAAAACTGATTTATTCTTTAAATTCCGTTATAATTGCTTATCTTTTGACAGATACGCGTATTTCGTCTACTACTTGCAGACTTCATCAGTGCCAAGTACTCAACTGGCACTGATGAAGTCTGCAAGTAGTAGACGAAATACGCGTATCTGTCAAAAGATAAGCAATTATAACGGAATTTAAAGGAAATAAACCAACCCACTCAAAGCTCTTCATAAAGGGATTCCGTTAAGAGGTCCGACAAATTTAAAGGATTGATTTATTCTATTGAATTTTTCTAACCTAACTATATCTTAAAATGTCAATACATTTAATTTTTTGTAATAGTAATTTGATCTTTATTTAGTTGAAGCAACAACTTTTAGTGAAAATTGTCCATCTATCATGGTAAATGGTATCCTTTGCAAACAATACTACGGAAAACCAAATGTAATGAACACGTAATCAAGAACATAAACACGTCGAGAACGTCAAACCTAAAAGTGACATCAGTATGCTCTATACCACTGCGCTGATAACAGACAGAAAAGAATCCATCGGAATCACCGGAACACAAAAGCTAGTGACCAGAAAGTAGCAAAACAAACAAGCATCCATTTACGCTCTCCGTTCCGAAACGCTGCATTGGCCAGTGACCGGGCCGTATAGTGCAAAAACAAGGCCAGTGAGAATCCACCGCGTAGCAGTCGTCGCCGCTCCACTCTCCAATCACCATCGTGCGATGGGACAGCAGGTGTCGAGTCTACCGCAGAAGATCCTGCCGTGCGATACGGTGGACTCGCTGCAGTTCGAAATCAAGAAGCAGGCGCAAATATTCTCCGAAATCGGAAGCCTCACCTACGAGGACTTTCAGAAGTGTCTGGCCGATCTCAACAGTTTGTGAGTATATCTGCTATCGGTGTTAATCAGTCACATATTCGTCTGCCTGAAAATCTTAATAAAGATAAGCAACCAACCAGTCGTGCATTGGAAATTAGGTGGTACATACTGATACTAGGGGAAATGTATGTAATGTCGGCCTAACTGTCCCTAATTTGGGCCCATGCATATATATTCAGCAATCGACTAAATTTTCAATAGCAACCAAAAATATCCATTAGTACCGTCCCAATGACGCGATCATCTAGATACAATTATTGATAAATAGCAGATTTTTAGCGATGGGCCCAATCTTAGATCCATAGGCCAACATTAGAGCCATTTCCCCTATCATGTGCAATTAAATTTTGATAACGCAATTCGACAATCAATTCCAATTCGACAGTGAGCCTGATTGCAGTTCGACAGTGAGCATTCATAAGGGCGTATACGCGATGATCGATTCTCTTCATCGATTTTCTCTTTCGTTAATAACTCGCTAGATTTAACGTTTGTCGGTGCGTTTGCTGTTGCTTTTGATGGCCAATGCAACCTGTTACAACTCTACATTGAATAAATTCTACAAAATTGTTTCGCTTAGCTGTAGCAATGCAAAGAGAAAATCGATGAAGAGAATCGATCATCACGTATACGCCCTTATGAATGCTCACTGTCGAGTTATCGATTCTCTTCGTCGATTTTCTCTTTTGTTAATCACTCGTTTGGATTTACATTTCGACAGTGAGCATGTATAAGGGCCTAAACGCGATGATCGATTCCCTTCGTCGATTTTCTCTTAAAATTGCTACAGCTAAGGGAAGCAATTTTCTGAACTTTGTCCAATACAGAGCTGTAACAGTTTGTATTGGCTATCAAAAGCAACAACAAACGCACCGAGAAATGTTAATCCAAGTGAGTTATCATCAAAAGAGAAAATCGACGAAGAGAATCGATCATCGCGTTTACACCTTTATGCATGCTCACTGCCGATTTCTCGGTGCGTTTGCTGTTGCTTAGATGATAGCCAATAAAACCTATTACAGCACTGTATTGGGGTGAGGGGGGGCTGAATTTTCCCATGCTTGGTTGGAAGTACTCTGAACCCCTCGTCAGAAGTTCTCTCGGGATTTCATTGATCTTCTCATCGGAAATTCTCTGAATTTCTCGTTGGAAGTTCTCTGAAGCTCTCACCGGAAGCTATCTGAACTACTCACCGGAAGTTCCCTGAACTTTACGTTGGGATTTCTTTGAACTTCTCGTTGGAAGTTCACTGAACCTCTCCTTGATAGTTCTCTGAATTCGTCGGAAGTTGTCTGAATGTTTCGACGGAAGCTCTCTGATTTTCTCCTCGAAGTTCTCGGAACTTCTCTTTGGAAGATCTCTGAACTTCTAGTAAGAAGTTCTCTGAACCTCTTGTCGGAAGTTTTCTGAACTTCTCCTCGGAAATTATTTGAACTTCTTTTCGGATTTTTTTTTTCTGAACTCGGAAGTTGTCTGATCGTCTCGTCGGAAGATCTCTGAACCTATCCTCAGAAGTTCTCTGAACTTCTAGTCGGAAGTTCTATGAATTTATAGTGGAATGTTATCTGAACTTGTCCTCGGAAGTTCTTTGCACTACAGAGATCTTCCGACGAAAAGTTTAAATAATTTTGAAGGAGAGATTCAGAGACCTTCCCTGAGATTATTTTCGGAAGTTCTCTGAACTTCCTCTGGAAACTTCCCTTTTGGAAGTTCTCTGAACTTCTGCTCGGAATATCTATGAACTTCTCGTCGGAATGTTTCTGAATTTCTCTTCGTAAGTTCTTAGAATTTCTCGCCAGAAAATCTCTGAACTTCTTCTCGTAATTTCTCAGAATTTCTGTTCAGAAGCTCTATGAACATCTCGTCGGAAGTTCTCTGAATTTCTCATCGGAAGTTATCTGAATTTCTTCTCAGAATTTCTCTGAACTTCTCGTCAGAATTTCTCTGAACTTCTCGTTGGAAGTTCACTGAACCTCTCCTTGATAGTTCTCTGAATTCGTCGGAAGTTGGCTGAATGTTTCGACGGAAGCTCTCTGATTTTCTCCTCGAAGTTCTCGGACCTTCTCTTTGGAGGATTTCTGAACTTCTAGTAAGAAGTTCTCTGAACCTCTTGTCGGAAGTTTTCTGAACTTCTCCTCGGAAATTATTTGAACTTCTTTTCGGATTTTTTTCTGAACTCTGAAAAAAAAGTCTCTTCTTCTTGGAAGTTGTCTGATCGTCTCGTCGGAAGATCTCTGAACCCATCCTCAGAAGTTCTCTGCACATCTCGTCGCTCTCTGAGCTTCTAGTCGGAAGTTCTTCGAATTTATAGTGGAATGTTATCTGAACTTCTCCTCGGAAGTTATCTGAACTACAGGGATCTTCCGACGAAAAGTTCAAATAATTTTGAAGGAGAGATTCAGAGAACTTCCTACTTGATGTTCAGAGACCTTCTCAGAGTTTATCTTCGGAAGTTCTCTGAACTTCCTCTCGAAACTTCCCTTTGGAAGTTCTGTGAACTTCTCGTCGGAAATTCTCTGAACCTCTCCTTGGAAATTCTTTGAACTTTTCGACGGAATTTTTCTGAATTTCTCGTCAGAAGCTCTCTGAACTTCTTCTCGTAGTTTCTCAGAATTTCTCTGAACTTCTGTTCAGAAGTTCTCTGAACATCTCGACGGAAGTTCTCCGAATTTCTCATCGGAAGTTATCTGAACTTCTCCTCAGAATTTTTCTGAACTCCTCCTCAGAATTTCTTTGACCTTCTCGTTGGAAGTTCACTGAACCTTTCCTTGATAGTTCTCTGAAGATGTCTGAATTTTCCGACGGAAGTTCGCTGATTCTACCCTCGGAAGTGCTCTGAGTTCTCGGATGTTTTCGGAACTTCTCCTTGGAAGATCTCTGAACTGCTAGTCGGAAGTTCTCTGAATTTCTCCTGCATCTTCAACTACTCCTGCCAGTCGCTTGCTTGTTGACGGCACGGCTTTTCATGGACTGAGCCAGATAAACCTTGTTCCCAATTTCCAGTCTCGTTTTCTTGACTTGGTTTTTGTTAGCGAAAGTGCACTTCTGGACTATGTCGTCGTTGAAGCGCCTGATGTCATCGTTCCTCTTGACAATTTCCACCCTGCTTTGGATATATCTATCGCGAACGGATCTCAAATTCGTTTTGATGAAACCATGACTTCCACTCGGCTCAATTTCCGGAAGACCGATTTCCGTTTGCTGAGACGTTCCTTGTCCCGGATCAACTGGAACGTGTTGAATG